GCATCCCTCCCAGCACAGCCCCCCCTCCTTATTGCAGCATACCAGGCACCCCAGGGCCACACTCTGGCTATTGCTTGACTCTAGAATGGGCAGAGCAGAGCCCCAACAAACCCACAAGCAGAACAGGGGGGATGCTGACCACATCCCTTCCTGCACAGCCATTGTGGCACCAGAGAGGGGTCCAGGCTGCACCCACATCCCCGGGTACTGAGGCTGGAAGACCCTTCAGTGTCGCTGCACCAGGCACACGAACTGACCCCACAGCTTTGAAATATCCCCATCTTTCTGTGGGCTCAGGTGGGCAGCAGTGAGACACAGGGAGGTGCCAGCGATCCCCAACCAACACGCACACACAGAGGTGTCCATCATGGCAGCAAAAGGGACAGCAACAGAGAGAAGGATGCAGCAGCAGTCCCTGCCCATGAGCTGCCCCTAGATGCAGGCAAGCTCAGGGAGGGCAGGGTGTGAGTAGACCCTAATGGACAGATCGAGGACAAACGGACAGACTGAGTGGCCCTCTGCACCCTGGTGACTCCTCAGACCAAACCCAGGGCAGGCAGATGCCGGGTGCCCCCTGCTCTCCACACCTCGGAGCCACTCTGGTCGCTGTGGTGCTGCAGGGGTCCCCAGGGCAGGTGCCATACCGCAGCAGCCTCCTACAGGGGATGGGCCCTGTGCTGGCCCCGCTCAGCTCCGTGGCACAGCGGGGTGCTGCCGGCCGCCTCTCCACGTGCCACTGTCCCCGAGGGAAAGGCAGAGCGCGACCCCTTAGCCGGGCTGTCCCCACATGCGAGGTGACACCGAGGGCGGTGCACGTCCCCAGCCACCGTCTCTCCATCACCGCGGCCATCCAGACACCGGGACCGCGGGGCCGAAGGGCTCCGCTCGGTGTCACCGTCCCTGCGCACAGATCCGCGTCCCCTCCGCCCCCATCGCCGCGCGCTCAGGGCTGCAGGAGGTATTTCTCCTCGTTCCTTGCTTCGTCCGCGTCGGACGCCGGGCTCTTCTTGGGGCACGACGGGGTCCTGCAGGCCTTGCAGAGGATGTGGAAGAGGATGAGGATGAGCAGAGCAATGATGCAGTTAAAAGAGATGGCAACGACCGCTCCGGTGGAGAGAGCCGTCCCCATCGCCGCCGCCCCGCGGGAGGAAGCGGAGCCCCCGGCTCGGGACGCGGCCTCCGCCCGATGGCATTGGCGGGGGACGGAGGAGACGGCGGCGGTGCTGGCGGCGGGCGGCGGGACGGCGTCACCCCAGCGCGGCCCGGACAGCGCCGGTGCAGCCTCGGAGGCGCGGGAGCGTCGGAGCGACTCCTCCAGCGGCGCTGCGGCGACGCGGGGTCTCCTCTGCCGTGCACCTGGAGGGGAGAAAGAACCGTCACAGCCGGCATGAGGGGACGGCACGGAGCACGAGGCGGGCTGCGCCACCTCCCTCCGCACATCCCCAGCCCCGAGGGGACTCCGCGGGACGAAGCCCGCGACCTCCCGGAGGGACGCGCATCTTCCCATCCCGCGCCCGCAACAAGTCCCGTCCCGGCTCATCCCGGCCCCACAGTTACCTGCCGCCGCCGCGGCCGCTCCGCCCCGGGAGCTGCCGCTCGGAGCCGCGTCCGGTCCTCGCTGTCCCGGCGCGGAGTGGCGCCCGATCCCGGTGCTCGGCGCCGGTCCGCCGCCGCCTCCCGCCGCTCCAGGGGGGGGGGCGGGGCGTGGCCTGCGGACGCCCCGCCCAGAACCGCTGGTGGCGGCCCCGCCCCTCCGCGCCGCGCAGCCATTGGACGAGCGCTCTGCGCTGGCCCCGCTCCTCGGCGCGCTCTGCCGGGGCCGCGCTGCTGGTGCGCGCGGTGCGGTGCGGTGCGGCCGCAGACGCCGGGTGGTACGTGAGCTGCCCGGGCTGCTGTGAGCGCACGTATGTGCATGGGCGCAGGCACACCCCAGCCCCTTATCTGCAGTACAGCAGGGGTGAGGATGAAGCAGCTCTATGGCCTTGCTGGGGACGCACGCGGAGTGCCCCTGGGAGGGGTGCGCAGCCCCGTGCGCAGAGGCACCAACTCCTGTGCACAGTGCAGACAACGAGGCATGGGGTGGCCCAGCCCTGCTGCTGGTTCCCGTGCAGCCTCGGCTCGAGCCCCAGAGCTACCCATGGCTGGCCGGCCGAAACGCTGGGTGCTGACACTGAGGAACACCCGTGTGGCACATGTGGCTGTGGGTAAAGGACACCCACGTGGCACATGCTGCACCGGTGCTGGAGGCCCACTGGATCGAGGCAAAGCTCAGTGAGGAAGGGAGTCTGCAAGGGCTGAGCATCCTGGAGTCTACGCGTGCCCCAAAAAGCCACCACTGGGCCACAGGCCGCAAATGCGGGGCTATGTTGTCCGCCCACGAGGGACCAGAGTGGCCGTGTGCAGTGCAAAGCATCAGGGGAAGTCCGAGCAGCTGTCCCGACGGCTCGTGTTCTGCACCGAGCAGCTCAGCATGGCTTGGTCGCATCAGGAAGAAGGCAGCAGGGTATGGGATGCAGATCCGCAAGGCAGCTGGGGACCTCTCCTGGCTGCCAGCAGCACACTCACCTCTGTTGGCTCTGCTGTCCGCTCGTTGGGTGGGCTTCGCTTGGGGAATCTCCATACTGCGGCCCGTGGATAGAGCCCAGTGTGCCGCTGCATCCACCTGGGAACGATTTTTGTACTGCAAAAGATATAAAATCACTCCGCAGCTCTGACTGGGAGCTGAGGGGAGTGCTGCCACAAGGAAGGATTATAAGGGCTATTTCAGGATCTAGCTCTAAGTTGAGGGTGTTGAACAGTAAACACAGACATGCTGCTCATTGCAATGCAGGCAGTGCAATCAGATGCTCAAGCATCTTTCCTTAGCATTTATCTCTGAACTGCTAATTAGTTAGTAAAGGCTACTACTAGTCAGCCTGCTACTCAGCTCAGGCATCAGTCACCAAGCTTTCAGCTGTGGGCTCATGCTGGCACAGCAGAGCCACACAAGGACATGGCATGGCCCTGCAGCTCCTTCCTGCCCAGCAGCTGCTCCAGGATCAAAACTGTGGCGCACAATGTGATGCTCTATTCCCTGCTTCATTCAGTAGCATTCAGGACAAGTATTTTCAAGACTGCTCTTCCAGAGAGTTTAAAGGAAAATTAAAAAGAACAGCAAAAAGTTTTCCCCAAAAATACCATTCCGGCTTTTCCATTGGTAGAAAAGGTAAATGGCAAAGGAAAACCTTTCTCCACCATCAGGGTCCACTTATAGGAGAAAAATGCCTGCAGCTGCAGCCCCGTCAGTAATGCTGAGGGTGACATCCAGTGCAACGAAGAAGACACAATACATGTTTTATCACTTAAAAACTTTATTTTAAGCCCATCTCTATGCATCATAAAGGAACAGAAAGGGGAAACAAGCATCCTCTGGAGCTTACCATTGCCACCTCAGTGCACTTGCCCTTGCCTACATTGTTTCAGTATGGCGATGACTTTAGTTGACTCCTGCCAGAGGTGTAACTGTCAGCTCCAGAGAGGAAGTGAAAGTAGGACAGAAAGGGATGATTGGCACACAGTGAGTTGCATCCCTGCAGTCCCACATCTAAACCATCAGGACACTGGAAGGCTTGAGCAGAAGATGGCCTCTCAGGCACAGGTGAAGTGGCCGATCCAGCCCAGAACAACGCCATCCGCACACAGGAGTTGCGATGACGGGCTGGCAGCCCAAGCTGGGCCACATCTTCCCTCTAGGAGCTGCCTCCACCCCTGTTCAGGCAAAACACTGCCGTACCTGGAATGCCTGTTTGGGCTCACTAACTGGATGCCAATGGTCCTTGCCCAAATAGGTGAATCCTGTATTTCCATCTCATCCCTGAGCAACAGGCTATGGAGTGCAGCCTGGCACCATCTAACATGGAAACTTGCCAAAACACAATTTAGATAGCTACAGTTTTGTCAATTTTAGAACAGTGAGTTCTCCTGTCTACCCCTAACAGCTCTGAAAGCCTGTGTTCAGCACCAGCTTTCCAGCTAGAGCAGCTGGATGGTTTCTGTAACATCCCCAAGCTACACCCACAAGTGTCCCTGCCTCAAGACTTCACTCAGGACTCCCCAGGCCCTCCACTGGCACGAGGGTGCTTTCCCATGCTGCCAGTTCCCCTTCCTCCACCCTGCTTCCTCTTCATTTGGGCCTGGGACTCTGCTTTAAGTGTCTCAATCCAGAAGGCGTCAAAAGAGCCTGGAGCCTGATATCCAGGCTCCTGGGGATCGAGGGCATCTTTGCTCAGCAGAACACATATGGCAGGAATGTTTCTCTTCACCGTCAAGGCATCAAGACCTGCCTCAGGCACAATGGGTTCCCAGATCTCCTCGATCTGTTTAAAAAGCACTTTGGTGATTTGATGGAGTTCTTTCAGCCTTCTTTTCATGATTTCCACACATGTGATGGTCTTGCTAACAGCCTTGCCTGAGCCAGTGAAAAGGATCTGCCTCACTGAGTCCAGTTCCATCTTGCCAATGGCGTAGCCCATCAGATTTCTTATTTTACTTCCATCTTTCACTTTCATTTCAATGATATCAGGAGGCAGGTCAGTGAAAGGAAGAGGACAAGGTTTCTCTACAATTTTGGTCTTCTTATAGTTTTCCATTCTGTTGTGCTGAAAAGGAAAATGGACCCATGAATACTGTAATTAAGGCTCATACAAATCAATCAGTGTGGACTTTCCCACCCAGCAAGAAGCTCAGCAGCATCTGCAGCTTCCAGCAACCTGTGCCAGCACAGCAGAGCTTGAATCTGAGGCTGCCATTGGCACGATTTCAGCCTCACTGACCACGAGAAAAGTCTCAGCACCTCCACGCACCTGCAGCTGAGAAATTTCTAAACGCTGTGCACAGGACTTCTTGCTCCAACTACATGTAATCTTTTCTCCAAAGGGCACCGTCAGGTTTTGGCACCCGGACAAGGCAGATACAAACTATCCACCAGAATACCCCGGATGTGCAGAAGTGCAAAGGGAAGCGGTCATTTCTAGCACAGGCAGCCTAGGCACCGGTCAGCAACATGAACGCTGGGGTCATTGGGAATGAGCAGCGCAGGTTCAGCTGGCGGAATCCTAGGGAAAAGCAAAGAACAAACGAAAGAGTTCAGGTAAGCGGGCCCACGCTTTCCCCCCCTTTGGGCCTATAGTCACGCCCGGCTCCCGGACAGGCCCACCGCAGGCACGGCGATACGGCCGCGGAAGGGCGGGGGCCAAAGAGAGGCTGGAGGAGGCTGAGCCCCACAGGGCCAGTCCTGCAGGCCGGCCGCTGCGCGGGGAAGAAGCACGGGGCGGGAAAAAGTCCCGCGGTGAACGGGAGCCGATGTCCGGATGCGCTCTGCAGGCTCCGGGCTGCAGGACGCAGCCGAGCTGAGCCTGGGGGCAGCCGGGAACCGCGCTCACCTGCCGGCGGCGCCGCACCTCGCCCCTCGCCGCAAAATGGCGGCCGCCACGACATGTGCGCATGCGCGGGGACGGAAGGGCAGCGCCTCGTTACGTCCCGGCTCCTGATTGGACGTGGAGTCCAGGTGGGCGTGACGGAATGGTGACGTCAGGCCCGGCCGAGCTGAGGTCAGGGAGGTGGATCTGCGCCCCCAGAGCGGGAGTTTGAGGACGGGGTGATACGGGGCTGTGGGACTCGGGGCCGGGGATTCAGAACCCACTGCGCCGGAGCCTCATGTGCCACGTTCCTGTGCCCGCAGGCTGGCAGACAACGCTTGCGACTGAGGAGATGGTGGCGGCGAGGAGCAGCAGCACTGCAGTCAGGTGAGTCTCCTGTGGATCAGCGCCAAGCCCCACGCTTGCCCTGATGCGTGCCAGGCAGTGCTGGGCCCATTAGAGGCGCCCAGCCCTGGACTGGGAACTGGCACGCTTCAGGTCGGCTAGATGGGCCAAGGGCGTCCCTGGGCTCAGGCCCTCTCCCTGTTTCGCAGGTGCTGACAGAGATGTGTGGGCCTTGGCGTTCCTGCTCCATCTGCAGCTGCTGTAGCAAAGCTGACCAGGAGCTGCAGCAGCTGGTGCTGTTGGCGCTGCCTGAGCACGTGGGCACTCTGGGCCCTGACTTTTGGAAGACAGCCTGGAGGGACCTGACAGAGCTGGTAGAGCCTGTCCTGCTGCAGCTCCCCCAGTGCCCAGAGCGCTACCAGAAGAAATGATGACAACTCCCTGACTGCAAAGAGGAGCCCCAGGAAGGATGGTGCCCAGCCACACTGCTCAGTCTCTAAGGAGTGGAAGGGTATATAAAGAACTCAGCATTAACGTGGCACAGAAAAGCATCGAAGTGCATCTGGGCACCCTGTCCAAACAGCTACAGTGTTCCAAGGAGCAAGCAGGGAGACTGCGGTGCCTCCCTGTCCTAAACTCACCCAGCCAGGGCAGTCCTAGTCATTGCTGCAGCACAGGATGAACCCCTGTCTGCAGGCAACCTCCTCAGGAAAGAAAGGCTGAGACGGTGAGGGGATGTCAACATCACCAAGACATCCCAGAATGTGCTGGTGCCAGGACCAGCACAGCTGCTGATACTCCAGAATGTGGAGCTGAACTGGCAGTTCAACAAGTCGGTATTGCAGGGCCTGGGGCAGAATACTTCTACCACTGACAAGAGCTGTGCAGGGGTCACTGGAATGCTCCTCAGGAAGAGAGTATACATAGAGATCCTGAAAGTCTCTGGTGCAACCACGACTGAGATTCAGGGCTCTAAGGCACACATGAGCCAGTGACTGCCCCTCCGTCCAGCCATCGGTGAGGGGGAAGACTGATCTGTGCCTGGAGGTAAAGCTTCAGAGATTCCTTAGAGCAGTACGGCAGTCCACTGAACAGCTGCAGTGCCCATGGCCACCTTGGCATGCCAATCTCTTCCTCATCAACAGGAAACACCACCTGCAGCCAGCTCTAATCACACAGCAGCAGCTTGGGGAACCCTCCACCTGCTCAGCTGCATGTAGGGCAGCAGGATTCAGCTCAGTGCCCATCTGCTTCCCCAGCTGTAAGGCCACATTCCTGCCTGTGAAGCAGTGCTGTGGAAGGAGGGCTCTGCCAGCATCTAAGTGACTGCTCCATCAGAAGCAGCTGGGGCTGAGGCATGCCCCAAAGGACCTAAGGAAACAAGTGATGGCACCATAGGAAAAGCAGATGAAAGAGCACCCAGAGCACCCACTTCAAAGAAATAAAGTGACTTGTACGGATGAGCTGGCTGAAGAGCTCTCATATCCTGCATTGCCCACTGGCAGACGTATTGGTGATGGAGGTGTGACTTTCAGCTCTGAGATTCACACAGAGGGTGGTGACACACTGGAACAGGTTGCCCAAGGAGGTTGTGGATGCTACATCCCTGGAGGCATTCAAGGCCAGGCTGGATGTGGCTCTGGGCAGTCTGGTATAGTGGCTGGCGACCCTGCACATAGCAGGGGCTTGGAACTAGATGATCATTGTGGTCCTTTTCAACCCAGGCCATTCTATGATTCTATGAGGGAGGTGTACTATTCCACAGGAGGACAAGGTGATGAGGATTAGTCAAGGAGAACCAGCTATTCCTCCTGGAACTCCTTTGGCTCACCTTCAGCTTCATGCCATGAGGCAGCCTGGGGCTCTCAGCAACTCATCTGGAGGCAAAGCACCAAGCTCAGTGCCACCTCTTTGACCAAAGGGGGCTTTGGGCTCCCACAGTGTCAGCAAGAGGCCAGCATCCCCTTCTACAAGCAGTGATCTATGTGGTACATAGTCGCTCCTTTGGCTCACCTTCACCTGTGACCCAGGTGCCTGGCTTCCAGCCTACCTTGTATGACACACACATCACCCCTTCACTGTCATATTTTCTACAAGCCACGCAGGATGGTTTAGGAGCTGCCGGCTTCACAAAGGCATATGCTCACACTCAGAAAGTGGACAAATCCTATGCTCCAGCCAGAACAGGCAGGGGGCAGCAAATGCCTCTTTCCCAATAAGAAAGGACTGGCTGGGGCTCTGACTCACTTTCTGCCATTCTAGTAAGCAGAGGAAGGATGTAGGCCAGGGTCACTTGCTCCTCCCAGTCTCCAGGAGTTCCCATTTTCACTGTCGCACAACAAGACACCAGCAGTCACCCCAGTAAGGGACATGCAGATGACTGCTTCCAGTTCATGCTAGGCATAACATTGCCTTATGAGACATCAGCCGTGGGCAGTTGGCAGCACATGGATCTGCCTGAGTTTAACCAGGCATTCTGTGCCACTCATGCATTCGGGGAGGAAGAGACAAGCCAGGTAGTGTATTAGAGCTTTACTATGATCCACAATAAGAGCAAAAAGGGATTTTTAAAGTACGTTACCAGCTTGAAAACATAAAAATGCAAGACAGCATATTAAGAACTGTGACATATTAAGAGAAAACTATATGCAAACAGTGGCATATTGACAGTGCAGCTTTGATTAAGGGCCACAAAGCCAGGGTGCCCCCAGGAGCCTGTGTCATCATTTGTAGCATACTCACGGTGAGTATAAGGATGCTGAGGCAAGAGGATGCAAGCAGCTGCTGCAGTCTCTCCTGAGTAACTCAAGGCCAGCAGGGTCGTAAGACCTTGGCTCTTTGCCCTCCCAGCTTTGCCATCACTCTGCTGTGGGTTTCACTTCACTGGCTGCTTCCAGCTGTGTTAGTATTTCATTCCACTGGACAAACTGTTTGGAGAGAAGCAGAGTCTGGATATTCTTCTTAAGGAAAGAGAAGTGAAAACTTCAAGGAGGAAACAGTATAGCCAGAGCAGCCCTCATCAGCCTGACAGCACTGATATAAAACCAATTCCTTGGCAGAGAAAAAGGTGAAGGAAACTGGATGTACACTACATAGACTCAAACCAAGTACACATCAATGGGTGTCCAGAAGCCACTTCTAAACACTGCACAGCTCTGCAAATTAAAGGTCTTCCTTCAGAAAAAAGCAGAGCTCCCCCACCCACTGTAGTTCAGGATGCGTTCCAGCACTGGGATGAGAATGAGCTGCTGCAAGGCTCTGGCAGGTCACAGGCACATTCAAATGACATGCTAGCTCCTTTGTGCCACGCCACATTGTAAGCAGATCCAGCAAAAAAGCTTTGTCTCACAAGCAACATCCTGCCCTTCCTGTCTCAGATAGGCAGTTCTGTCTCTCAGCACTGTATCAGGACTCCACTCCTGAGGTAAGTATAATGAAAGGAACACAAGCATCACTACACCAGAAAAGGTGCTGGCTATTAAACCTAAGACTGGACATTGCCTGCTTCCAGCTACCTGATAGGATGAGGTGGCCCAACAGACAGGTGCGCAGTTCAGTCCAAGGCACCAGCTAAAAGGATACTGTCTTGTTGTAGTTTTCCAAGAGCATCTTGACTTCATCAGTAAACTGCTCACACTGCTCCTGCAAAAAACAGTGCCTCAATGAGTAAGCAGTAAATAAGTTAAAGGACATCTGTAATTCCAGGCAACACGGGGGAAACCCTGTCCAAGGCTAGTACCAAAACTGAAACTCAGGCCCTGGCTGTGACCACTCACCGTGGCTGAAAGAGTTTCCATAGTTGTAGTAAAAGTTATGAAGAAACACCCATGCTCACACAATGCAAGAGCACCCATGCTAGCACTGGTGCGTGCTCTTTCTTAGCATCCATGCTTTCCTTGCCTCAGAAGGAAAACTCGCAGCAAAACATAAGAAGGGGGGCATTAAGTGCTGCCCAGGCTACACCCTCCCACCTCATGGGGTACTCAAATGGGGATTGAAAGAGACAAGGTGACAGCATTAACAGCCTTCTAGAGACTGGGACACTGAAGAAGTGCAATGTTTCAGTGTTCCAGTGAAAAGCAGAACAGCAGCTGGTTAAACACACTGCTGCTTACTAAGAGGTGCTCAAACCTCCATTTTGAGCAGCTTATGGTAGGTAAAAAGCTTTTCCAACTCAAAGTCAAATGTTAGTAATCCGAGGTATCTCCCCCAAAAGTTCTTAAACTTTTTTTTTTTCTTGCTGCAGTTTTAAAGGTGTGGTATAAACGATAATTCAAACAGCTGCAGATACAAGGGTATCATCAGTACACCCACTATCAAATGCTTCCTTCTTCTGGCTAGTGAAGAGTCATGAACATTCACACTACCTGTTGCTGTATCTGGATTTGAGAGAGTCGCTGTAGTTTGGCTGCATGTTCAGGAGCCGCTGAAAGCACAGAAATCCATTTTGCTTGTTTTACATCATGTAGGATTAATTATTAAAAAAAAAAAAAAAAAAAGAACATTGCTTCTCCAAGGGCATGTCATAGCAAAATTCTGCTCAGTGAATTCAAGTGCTCCATTCCAAAAACGTTTTTTACACAATTAAAAAAAGCCAACTAACAGAAAACCCACATAGCTACACTGCACACTAAATAACAGGTTTATTTGTTAACTACTTGAGTTAGGGTGAGTTAGCAGATGCTTGCATTGAGGCAGCAAACAATTAGATGAACACTGTAGTAAACATTAAAAGAAACATCTCTGCCTACACAAGGAACACTGATGTTCTGGATGTAAGACAGCACATAAGCAGAACCTAGGAGAGTCACCAGAGCCTGGGGATTGCACATAGTGCTTAGTCATAGTTTCTCACCCTTTGCCAAGCCACTGCCTCTAACCTCTTTACTGAACTACACAGTCACCTCCCTGACCCCTTGGTGCAGTGGTCACATTCCCACCCCAGGTGTGCTTGGTAACAGCTAAGACATTCAGCAGTGCTCTGTTAGACACTGCACACTTTCTAGACATGGAACATGAGAGCAACGTGAGGCAGGAGCAGATATACCACTGTGTACCTACTTTACTGACACTAAGTCGTGTGCTCAGCTGTTCTCAAGTCTGAGGCTCACAAAAAAATGAACAGCACAGACAACAGCTTGGAGGATAACATTTGCAACTGAGATACCTGGCATACCTTGGATACTGGCACTGTCTAAGATGGGCTCAAGGTTCTTCACCTGCTCCAGGAGGGCTACTCGGGAAGGAAGAGCCTGTTCCTCTGATCAGGGAGAGATAATAAGGAATATTAGGAAATAAAGATAGAGTTTTAGCTTCTCACAAATACTGGTGCATTAGTGTGTATGAATCTGTTTTCTAAACCATTTACACACAACACACCAGAGAACAGCTTGGCAAATACAGAAAACAAAACTCATAGCCAAAGCTAGAGTAAAGGCACGAAAGTCTCTGACAACAGACTTGGAAGTTCCCAAGTTAAAGGAGCTCTTAAACAGGTCAGCTATAGCCTCACCCCAAAAAAGGACTTATTCCTACTCCAAATGATGACCAGCTGGAACTGTCACTCACACTCCAGCTCCTTTTTTCCAGTTATTTACCTCTACAAAAAAAGAGCTTGCTTATGATTTCATTCAGCCTTTTATGTTGTTCATGAGTACATTCTCATTCATGATAACTTAAGTCAGAAGTATCTCCACGAAAATTAATTCACTATAACCAAGACAAGGCTGAACCAAGTTATTTGGGGGCAAAGGGGAATAAAGCTAGAAGGCATTTAATATATACTCAAAATCTTCCTGTTTTTCTTACAGTCCTCAGAGTATTTAAAAAAAGGGTGAAGAAAGCTATTCAAGCTCCATCTTTTTCTTTTCAGCCTTGTTAATTTATGGATAAATTGATCTATAGTTAGATCAGAAGAGATAAAATGACAGCATGGACATGCGCAGAGGAGCACAATGGGGTGACAGACATCCTCATAGAAATCACATTTTAGTTAGCTCTAAAGAGGTTTGCTTTTTCACATCTTTATAACTAAACAAAGTAACTCAACCCAATCCAGCACATGCAAAATACAGCTTCGGCAGTGCTAAAAACCTGTTTCCTTTCATTTTAAGCCATACCTGCCAAGATGAACTCCAGCTTCCAAGTCTCTGGAACAGCCATTCTGTCAATGTACAGAGGGTCTAGGTATTTTATTACATCTTCAACTAAAGCAAAAGATAGGTTTGAAGACACAAAGTAAGAAAGATGTTACCGCTTTTACAAGTGGAATTCCCCACGGCACTGCATCACACAAGGCTGCTTTGTAAACACCCCACATTTAGTGCTATTTTTATTCAGATTCACCAATGTTTGCAGCACTTGATGACAAATGACTTTGGAAAGCCTTGGCCAAGAACTTATAAATGACTCAAGCCCAAATAACTGCTCTGTTACAGACATCTCCATCACTTACTTTTTGTTTAGCTAACAATACCAATTAAATCTGCTTCTTCCTGCCCTTGATACAAAACCAGAGGACTCTCCCTCACTGTGGTTCCTAAAATTACTTACAAATGTTACTGTTTTCACACCTAACACTCATCACAGCCTTGGACCAC